CGTACTCCGGTAGGTTTGCTGAGGTTCATGGGCTCCATCTGTTGTGTGTTTTTTTTTAGAAGATGCAGACAATCTAAAATTTCAGATCACTCGTATTAGCCCACACTTTGCATATAGCTCCTGTAACGGTTATATAATTAGAATCAACTTAAAGCTCTTACATTAGTCTGAAATTTGAAGAGGTCACAGTCACCAGCATCAGGTTCCTAATTAAACTGTTCGCTGACATTCAGTGGCGGATTGTTTCTCAGGGGGTATTCCGAAGGTCATCTATTTTTTTTTTCTTCTTAAATGTGGACTTACACACACACAGTTTCTCTAAAACACCCACCCATTTGTCAAACTCATTTCAGACATGGTCCACTGCTCTTAGCTGTATATTTAGCTTATGCTATAGCCTTCCTGTTTATGTGGATTTCTAAAGGGCATAAAATGCAATCAGGTTTTACATAGAAGTGTAATGCATGGTAAATTTTGAGTGCACACTTGTGGACACACTTCCTGTTTAAACCCTGTCCCTACCGATTCTATGATTCTATCCTAATATAGACACAATATTAAGAACCAAAAACAAACACCCATTGTAGCTAAAGCATATGAAAAAAAAAAAAAATAAAAAACATCTCCCCTGTGCACTTCAGCACGCTGAAAGAGCTTTTTCCCTAAAAGAGCATTCACGAGTGCGTCTTTTTAAAGACGACGTTGTGTCTGGTAAACTCGATGTCGCGTCTTTGTAAAGATGACGTTGCATCTGGTAAACTCGACCTTGCGTCTTTGTAAAGACGACGTTGCATCTTGCTACAGACAACGTATCACCCGTGCATTTCTGGATGTGGTCGTTACCTGGTGTCGGATGATGGTCACGATCACTGCCTCACGTGTCTGGGCATTAAGCACGCTGAGGTGGCATTCGTGGATGAGTAATGTTCTCATTGTGGGAAGATGACCATCTCGGAGTTGCGGGCCAAGCTCTGTTACCTCAAAAGGGGCGGAGCTCCGTTGCCTCTGCCTCAATCTAGTTCTT